CTCCATCACCAGCGTTACTTGGTTCCTTCCTCAGTATTTTTCTTTTGAGGATTTGGGGAAAATTTTAAGAAAGTTCACATACCTGCATAAGAGAGCTACTTGTTGGACATGTGAATGGTTTTCCATCCTTGCAACAAAACTAGCAGCAGTAGTGGAGTTTGGACATGCAATCCACTTCTGAAATCTATATTTGCGCTCCTCTAATTTATCCAGAAATTCTGCGATCACACTTCTTCTCTCATTCCCAACTTTGTGGTTGGTGGCAAATTTAGCATGCCTTCCCTGGAAACGCCTTTCCAAATTACTCTTTTTATTTTATTTTTTTACTGTTATGAACTTTCCTAACAAAGCAAAAATGCAGGCAATCCTTCCGCATTGATAATGAAAGCTAATTATTTGGTACATTCTTCTTTGAATCCTCTGTTCTCATCAGGTATCATCGTTTTCTTTTTCCCTTTGGGATCCCACCGATTTGTTTGCAATCAATTTTCATAAATTTTAGAAAAAGCTCCAGGGAGCCATAAGGGGGCACTAAAGAGCTGCATGCAGCTCTGGAATAGCGAGTTGCTGACCTCTGATCTAGGCTATATAGGCCTATATATAGGCCCAGTGGCTGATTGTAGACACCTGTGATGATAATTAGTGGACACATCTTAATTTAAAATGTCTCTTTGGTCAGACTATTTTTAATCTTCTGGTGACCCTCATATGCGTCTGTTTCATTTTTTTTTTTATCATTCTGTTGAAGCATTGTTGAAAAGAAATTTCTGACTTTCTTCTGTTAATTTTTATAGAATTCTTATTTTATTTTTTTTATGTCAGATTAAACTTGGTTTAAGTTTAATTTGACATTACGTCATCATGAGGTGGTAAAAGCTTCTTAGGATTTGTGTCAATAGGAATGATTTTAAGGGCTTCATGATCAAATTTAATACAGTTAATTGGTTTTGGTCAATCAGATTCAATCAGATTAGCCCCAAACAGTAGGCAAAATGGAAATTAAGCAGGGCAATAATCAGTGAAAGGCATCAGAGTTTGTAGCACTGTTATCTTGTATGTTCTGGGTTCACTTCCTGGCCCAGGGGCTTTCTGCAAGGAGTTTGCATCTTCTCCCCATGCATGCATGGGTTCTCTCCAGGTACTCTGCTTTCCTCCCACAGTCCAAGGAAATTAATGTTAGGTTAATTGGCATTTCTAAATTTTCCTTAGGTGTGTCTGCTGTGTTTCTGGCAACCTGTGCACCCTGACTCTTGCGCATAGCCTGCAGGAAATAGACACCTGCGCCACGGTGACCCTCAAGGAATAAGTTGGAGCAGATGGATGGAAGGGATCAGAGTTCTAACATTATCTTATTAGTCTTAATCCAGGTGAAAATATTTAAATCTAATTTTCGCCATTAAGGAGCTAAAACCAGTGGCGCCTGGCCAATAATACAATATAGTGTACTTTGTCCAGATGTTTTTTAATTTGCACAGTTGTTCTTAAATAAACTGAGAAAATAGTTTATATATATATAAAATATATAGCTGACTAATAGCCTCTCCATTATTAACTGGTATGTTACTTTTTTTTAGGTTTGTAAGAACCATGCACAACACTGATTTGCAATCACAAAGGCTCAGAAGGGCAAAATTTATGTACAAAAAGTAAAACTGTATTTGTTTTTATAATGTTGTTTTTTTTTTGTTTTTTTTTTTGTCAGCATACTGGTGTGATAACTTTTTGGTGTACATCTATTTTGAATTTTTAGCCCCCCCTGGAGAAAACACCACCAGCCAGCCACTGGTTAAAACCACAATTTATTTACATTATTAACCTTGTTGCTACAAGCTTGTTATTTAAAATGAACTGTAAATTTTTCCTGAAATATTTCCCTGAAAATAAAAAGAAGTGGATCTTGGCTTTTTTTAAAATACTTATCTATTTGTTTACGTATAGATGATCTAAAACTAATGCCATAACCAAATCTTTCATGTAGATATTATGATCTTTTATGAGATTCCAAAGGATGTTATAGATGGCTGCTAAAAGCTCTGACTCCAAAAATATTCTGTTTTTGTGTGTTCATTTTCATGCATTACAAATAACACATTTTGTATTTGTTTATTCTGTAATATATTCTGTGTCTTTTCTTTCTTTTTGAGAGAGGTGAGAATTAAATTATGCAGATGAAAAAGGTGAAAGCGTAGAAGAAAGGTGAAAAGGAGGAAAAAATTACGCATGTTTTAGCCTGGCAGATGTAAAAGAAGCTTCCAGGTTTTTGAATAGCAACTATGTCTTTGGTTTTAAGTTCAGTAACTGAACACCCCTCAAAGGGCACATCCTAATCCCCTGTTTGTCTTTGCTAAAGGAAGAAAAAAAATCGAAGCGTCTTAAGAGCTGTCCTTTACTTAATGACGTAGAGGAAGAGCAGAGGAAATGTCTCTTGATTAGGGATGATTTAAAATGAAGCTGTATGTTTGATTACTCAATAGCACGGCTTTGAGAGATATAAAGGATTAGAGTTCAGGCCACAAGTGTTTTTGTATTTTCTTAAATGGTGAAATAATTATACAATATTTAAATTGCAAAGGCTACTTTAAAACAAAAACTGAGTCTGTATGCTAAAGCATTTCATAAAGTAAAAAGCCAATGTCACTGTCCAATGAAAATCAAGTTTATAGAAGCCTGCTCTAGACGTTGAAGTTTCACCTAAAGAAATGTTGCTTCCCACATGTATGAGTGAAATGTTGAAGAAACATTTCCATATAATCTGTAAAACTCCCTGCATAATTATAATAAAGCAATTTATATGCATGAAACAAGCAGAACACTATGGCAATAGCCCTACTGCTCCACTTGTGAAAGTAAAATCTGTTGGGCTCTTTTTGGCTTTAAGACAATTATTCTTATTGCCACATTGCCAGACAGGCCACTGTTAAAAAAAGAAAAAAAAAAGAAGAAAGAAATGTTGAAGAAACATTTCCTGCGCAGACTGTCATGTAGAGTAAAAGTTTAAGTGCATAATATTGCATACTGCGCATATGTGACTCAGCTTTGAGTTCCATGCACGCAGCGCATGATGTACGTCAGTCAGTCAAGCAGTCTGTACGTGCCACGTCATCAGTCGGTCGTGTCTATGTTCAATAAACCTTTTCGCTAGAAAATACTGTCGTCCAGCGAGCATTACTTGAAGACGTAAACGCTACACAGACAAATAAAAAACACCAGTTTTGGTAAATGATTATGACGGTGTGAATAATCAAGGAGTTTGACTTCTTTTACAGCACCCACATCATGCATTAGGTAGATGTATGAGACTACAGCAGTATTTGATATATTTGTTATATGTAAAGAAAAGAAAAAGGGGAGGCTTGTACTGTTATGAACTTTGTGAGTGCAAATATTCTTATTTTTTTTCAAATAAGTGACTCTGACTGCTTGGGCTGTGGGGTCTGGATTTCCTTCATCAGTCTGACAGCCCAATGTAGATGCTGACCTGAAGGGATAAGTCTGAACAGTTTGTGTCAAGATGTGTGGAGTCTACAGAGATGCTGGCTGGCCTTTTCCTCACCCTAGACATGTAAAAGTCCCAGAAGGGAGAGTCAGCTCTGATGAACACATTTGGACATATCATCTTCCAGTTTTTTTTTTTTTTTGCTTTTCACACATTAAAGACTTCCTTTTCAACAACATCAAGTAATTTTGAAAAATGTGTATGTGTATTTTTGCCCCCGGACTGATTACAGAATATTCAATGTAATTTCTTAAGAAAATAAAGGTTATTTGTTGATTATAGGTCCAAACCAATAAAACAATGAGTCAATTAACTTATCAAAATCAATATGACCTTAATACAGGGGAAAGGAGTACAGTGCCTTATTTTTATACTAATCCTTTTTACATGAATACAAGTCAAGCACTATCTTTTTTTTCCTGAGATAAAAAGATATATTGGTATACCTGTGTCACACAACTTATCCTCAGAAATTCAATTCATTTTATTATTATGGTGCCAATTAATGCAACATATCATCTGAAGGCTCTTTAGTGAGACATAATGTGATAATGTGATTAAGGTTATAATAGGGAATTTTTCAGTGCATTATAATGTTGCAGGCAATGACAAGAAAACCCTGAAACTAAGCATTTGCTTCACCACTGAATGCCTACCTACAGTAGGCTGGGGATGTTTGAGACGGCATGGCTTGGTGCCCTATATCTGCCTTGTCCTGTTAATTGTAAACAGAGTTATTACAACTAGAAATCAACAACTTGTGCATACAACTCCTTTTCCACAACCACAGAGTTTTCAATATATTAATCAAACCATGGTTGTGGTAATAGACTTTAAAAGCAAAAGAAGGGCTTGCTTTGCAGCAGGAAATTCTGTCATGCACGTCTAAACTGGCATTACATACTTACGTCAGTTTGAAAGATACAGTAGATTTTTTAGCTGTTAGCCAGCAAATGTCAGTCTCAGCTTTAACTGACTGATTTTATGGTAAATGATATACGCATGTTGGTTTTTTAACAAAACACCATTAATAATGATTACTATTTATTTATTTTGAGAAGATGCATATTATAGATTGGCATTTAGAGAGTAAAAACTTTAACTTAAATCTACCAGAAAAAGAAACGACTTTCAAACTACACATTTCAACATTTATAGTAAAATGTAACCACCTCATCAGGTTGGCATGTGTAGACAAAAACCTGACAGTTGTTTTAATTTGTTTGGTTAATGATTCCTGAGGGAAAAAAGAACAAAATCATCATGAATATATATTTTTTTTATTTATTAATTGTTAGAATAATTGCTGTTTGCTTATAGTCAAACCAATAATTGTTGCACTACAGTCCTAATCATGTAATTATGCATGAGTAAGGAAATACATTGGTTTGCGGACAACAGTATCTTTTTACAAGAACCTACGCAAGACCTTTTTTCCTAATTCATGGCGTCTTCAGGCTACATAAAGTGGTCAGGACCAGTGATGCAGCAATGAAACCTGAAGAAAACAGACAAGATGCTCATGACAGGTAATGTAACAATATTGGATTCTGAGAATATTGTATATACACATAAATAACTGAGCAATATTGATATTAAGAGACACTTGGTTACCCCTATTTGCACTATTTGTTTTTGCACTTTTTTATGTACTTTCAGTCAGTCAGTGGGGTTTATGGATCCTGTTGTTTTGGCCCCAGCATCTTACCTTGAGCTCCCCACTAGACTGTAGAGATGATCAAGGCAGCTTAAGCCGCTGCACCTCCATCTCCCAGGAGAAACTTCTGGACCGAGTCATCCATCATGCTGAGCTCATCTACCGTGTCTCAGAAGAACTGTGCTCTCTGTTTGTGAGTTAACTTTGACATTATCATAAAATGAATCACTGCACACGTTTATACTTTGAACAACAAAATAGTTTACAAGATGAGTTGTTACATTGTGCCCACATATTGTTCAAAACAAAAAACACTGTAGTTTTAGGGTGAGTTTATGGCTCAGACAGAGCAGCACACCTTTTTGATAAAAAAGAAGCTGGGAAATGAAAAACTAGATTTGTTTAAAATTTGACCTTCATGTTAATTTCAGCACTGAGCATATCCACATTTCAGTATGTTTGTGGAACTATCAACAGTCAATACTAGTTTTATCTGAACTTTCAGTCTGACAAAGTTATTTTTCCTATTTATATTTGTTACTCATAATGTTGGGGTTTCTTAAGTGGATCTGGCAAAGCTTCTCAATGGAGACACTAAGTTTGATAAAATAGGATACTCATTATCTGTACTGTTCTTCATTTTGTAAGGAATTCTCCTTATTTCATTTTAAGGTTTTCTGTCCTTGTTTTGGTTGATGCTGCAGTCTCAAAGTATTGTTCTGATTAGCTGCTTAAAGTCATGTTGCCATTGTTGTATTTAAACATTGCATGCATTAATATTTTTATAAACGGGAAAACCATTTTTAACATACATATAAAATGGCTGGGCCAATTCAATATTACAAGAGGGATGCATTTTATTTTTCCATCATTGTTAATTGTTTCAGTAGTCATTCGGAGTCAGTAGATCAAATTATTTAACTACTAAATTCCTGACCTTCACTAAATCATATTGAGAATGGCAAACAGCACAGAGAGGCGACTGTAGATTATAAGTCAAAATGACATATCAAGACTACAACAATGTTTCAAAAAATATAACAGCTACAAGATTGTTTATCTACATAGAAACACTGTTGACACACAACAATGATAGATTACATGTTTATTGTAAAGTGCACATAACATGTAGTTCTACAAATACTCAGCAAGTAGTTATGCTCCGATGGTGCCAGTGTTTGTCATCTGCCATTGTCTGCTTTGTTGGCACTTGGGTTGTTTGTTCCAGTCCTCAAACAAATATGAATGCTACACTGGAGTATGATAAAAACATTCTGAGAAATCCAAAATGTTCTGCCAGTTTGATGTTTAATTACAGAAACAGGAGAAGTTTCCCTTGATTATTGTTAGAGTTTTCTGATTACTGCTGCTGCGTTTCCATATTCCTTTTACCAAAAGAAGCGTCATCATCACTAACAACGATGTAGCTGTAGCCTTGTATGAATGAGGGTTTGTTTGAAATACTTTTTCAACATTATTCAACATTAGCCTTCCTAACAATCCTTGTAGCCTCCCTCCTCTGGGCTGATTCTTTATTCCAGACCAGAGGAGTTTTTCGAGCTGTTGAACCTTCTCCACCACTTTGATTCGTTTTACTCTGCCAGGAAGTGGTAAACTTTGATAAGCTGCACTCTCCCTGTCAGGATCCTCAGAATACCAATGTAGTGATTTCGACATATCCTTTTAGGGTTGGCCTGGTCAGTTCTAACTCAATATATTGAAGCAAGCATTTATCATCAAGGGTTTCTTTACTCCTAACTGCTTTGACTTGTGGTGATATTGGCGAGTCCTGCTTTTTTTTAAAGATCAATGCCACACTATCATTTACTTCAAGTATCTCTGGACTACAGGTCAGAAGGAGGAATACAGTAGTTACTTTATTTTAGACTTTCTCCATCAACCTCTCATCATCCTCGATCAACTTCTCAATCATTCTCTCCATTCATTTCTAGATTTATTTAAGAAAAACTATTTAAACACATTGTTATGTGCAGTGATCTGTCAACCACTCAAATACCCATGTGTGGTATTGTAGTATACCTTGGTAAAAGGCTTTTTATGTCTAATTGACTTTTGAGTAGGTGTATTGTATATTCTGATCATAAGTCTGTGTAATTTATCATCGCTCTGCCAAACCGCAACAACATATTATCAATCTGTCCACTGCAGCACAGTTTTTTTTAGCTATGTTTAATACACATTTTTTTTTAATCTGCTTTAAAAGACTAATTCAAATGAATAATCAAGGAAATAATAGAAGAATGTACAACAGCATATTCTTTTGTGAGACTATTTTGATATCTACTTGTAATATGTGCTGAAGTAGTAAGATCCAGCTAACATACTTCACACCACATCTCGCCTCCCAAATTACACAGGAATATTTTTTTGTGGGCCTTTTTTTCTAACATTAAGCCAGACCAGAAGCCCTCTCTTACTTTTAGATGCACACTGTTATTTGCTTTTGATTCTGACATGATCATCGCCTCACTTCGGGGCTTCAAAGTAATCTTCCACAACCCGTCTGAGCCAAAGATGTTTTATTGAAGAAGCAAGCCCACAGCGGGGTAATGTGAATGTGATAATATTATGCGGTAACACCGAAAGCACAGGTTTTTGCAGCTTGTTGAATCCCCTTCAGTTTGTGACTAGAGAATCAGAATGGCCCTTTGAAATAAAAATGACACATAGCTTGTTACAAAGAAAAAGCTGCATAGAGTCTGCAGATGAGCCCATGCCTGACAGCAAAATATGGATCTGCTGTGTCTCTGGTGGTAAAGCTATATAAAGCTTTTGTAACTCTTTTCTTTGTGTGTATTTTTATTTTTATTTTTCTCAGATATGGTGTGAAAGTTAAATATATTGTTCATTAATTCTATGGCATAAATCAGACATGCAGGCTGGTATCAGACTGTCCTTTTTCAAGTATCCAGACTTAGAAGTTAGTATATTAACAGAGAAAATAAAAAAAGGCATATTAAAATATATCAGTATTTGACTATTGTTTACTGTCTCCTTTTTTGTTTTTGTTTATACTTTTGCAGGAGGAACTCTTCATCCCATTTCCTTTTAGACTCCAGAGTAATCAGGCCGCTTATGCATGCATCACCAAAGCCCTACCCATCCCCAGCTCCAAAAGTGAAATTGAGCAAATATCTGTAAGCATATGGTTGTCATTTTCCGAAAGATATTGAAATCTTATGAAAATCTTTGATGTCAAGGTCTTATTTCATTAAGCTCTTGTTGTATGTGCACTTTTGAATCTTATATTTAAAGGTTTGTTATCAGTACAAGTACATCTAAAAAAAGGCAGATACAGCACACTGTTATTGTGTGAGGGTTTGCAAACATTCCCCAAGCCACAGAGTTATAGCTATGTCTCTCTCTGTGCAAATGCAGAGATGGAGGCAAAGATGGCTTCTTGTAGATTTAATAATATGTTTGGTGGCAAAAGAAGCATAAGAAAGAAATAGAAATAACAAAGCAAGGAACACAGGAACCACAGATACAGGTAACAGAACTTCAAGAGGGAATGAAGAGAATATATCAATGAGTAACTGCAGAGGAGGAGTATATATGCCAAACCGAACAATGAATTCAGCAATCCACTAATTGGGAGCAGGTGGGGACAGAAGTAACTAGAAGGGAGCTAAGTGGAAAGAGGGGGGTGCTAGTGGGCAACAGAGAGTGACCAAATAATACAATAGAGCTTAAATATAACCAGGAAATAACTTAATGAAGATAAAAGGTAATTAAACTGATGATTAGAAAATACAGAGTGACAAAGGGTAACTGAAAACCCAAAGTGAAAACTTTTAAAGTTAATTATTTGCAGCCTTTTTTATGATCTTTTTATCTATCTATCTATCTATCT